ACAAATTCGATGAAAATTTTTTTATTTTAATTCTATTTTATCTATAGAATTAAAATAAAAAAATTTTCATCGAATTTAATTAGATAATCATTGAGAAAACGTCGATTGAGGTTTTAGTACCTACAAAAAAGAAGCTGCAGTAAATTTTTTTTAAAAATTTAAATGAATATTTCTTAGCGACTGCTTGATTAAATTCAATAAAAAAAAATTTATTTTAATTCTACGTGTTTGTAGAATTAAAATAAAAAAATTTCATCAAATTTGGTTAGATAGCTGTTGAGAAATCTTTGCTTAAAGTTAAAAAAAAATGTTTTTACTATAGTTTTTTTGCTTTTTTTCTAAGATTTTCAACTTTTTTAAAAACTTTAAACAAAGTTTTCTCCATGACTATCTAACCAAATTCAATAAAAATTTTTTTATTTTAACTATACATATTTGTGGAATTAAAATAAAAAAAAAGTTTTCTGGAATTAGTTAAACATTCATCGAGAAATATTTGTTTAAAGTTTATAAAATCCTTTAAATTTTAAAAGAATCTTCCTGGCTGACTATTTCGATGCATTCCGACCTGATTCTGACCAGGAATTTTGGGGATCCCCTGTATGAGTTTAGAATTTACAGGGGTGAAGAGTTTTTTGTGGAATGCTACCTAAGTCGATAAATTTTATTAATCACATATGTGTAAATTAATATAATTAGGTATAAAGCATTATGTGTAGTCTATAATCTCGACATCCATAACTATATAGATATTTTGAATTTAGAACTTGAAAGTTCATATCTTGACATTTCTAAATCTAAATATCAACAATAATTATTATCATGACATAATTTACTATCCTGATAATTATTAGAATATTTAATAGCTTATACGAAAATTTCAGTATAAGTGCAACATTAATTTTACCAGAAATTATGATAATAAATTTCTTTTGTGTAAGAATCATGAATTTGAATATTATAACGAATATGCAATTCACAGATTAATCATAATTAGATGAAATATAGTATTATGGCATCTGCTCTAAATTAATTAGATATTTATTAAGGTGTCATTTATAGAGTATCTTTTATTCCTATGTGGTTAAGGTCATACCATCTCTTCCTATCATTACTGAACTTGTATAGATTGAATGCAATATTAGTATCCATAACCAAGTGGATATTTCTAATTTCAGCAATCTTTTTTGTACATCAGTTGTGTGTAACCTGATGTACATCAATTTAAATGCCTATAAACCAATTTTTTTTGAAAAAAAAACTTCGAACGAAGATATCTCAACAACTACCTAAGCAAACTTGATATACTTTTTTTTATTTCAATTCTATATATCTCTGGAATTAAAACAAAAAAAAGTACATCAAATTTGCTTAGGTAGGCGTCGAGATATTTTCATTCAAAGTCTTGTAAAAACTCAAACCGCCTAGTAATTTTTTTTTTAAAAAAAATCTTTTAATGAAGATATCTCAAAACCTACCTAAGCAAATTTGATGTACTTTTTTTTGTTTTAATTCTAAACATTTATAGAATTGAAACAAAAAAGTACATAAATTTGCTTAGGTAGATGTCGAGATATCTTCATTTAAAGATTTTTTTTAAAAAAATTAACTTGGCAGTTTAAGTTTTTACAAGACTTTGAATAAAGATATCTCAACGCCTACCTAAGCAAATTTGATGTACATTTTTTTGTTTTAATTCCAGATATATATAGAATTGAAATAAAAAAAAAGTATGTCAAATTTGCTTAGGTAGGTGTTGAGATATCTTCATGCGAAGTTTTTTTTAAAAAAATTCTGTTTTATAGGCGTTTTGAGTTTTTACTAAACTCCAGATGAAGATATCTCGACAACTACCTAAGCAAATTTGATGTACATTTTTTTAGTTTAATTCTAAACATTTATAGAATTGAAACAAAAAAAAGTATATCAAATTTGCTTAGGTAGTTGTCGAGATATCTTCATTCAAAGATTTTTTTTAAACCAAAATTTACTAGGCGATTTGAGTTTTTACAAGACTTTGAATAAAAATATCTCGATGCCTACCTAAGCAAATTTGATGTACTTTTTTTTTTGTTTTAATTCCAGAGATATATAGAATTGAAATAAAAAAAAGTATATCAAATTCGATTAGGTAGGTGTTGAGATATCTTCATTCGAAGTTTTTTTTTTTTTAAAAAAAATTGGTTTATAGGCGTTTTGAGTTTTTATAAACTTCAGATGAAGATATCTTGACACCTACCTAAGAAAATTTGATATACTTTTTTTTATTTTGATTCTAAATATTTAATAAATTGAACCAAAAAAAGCACACCGAATTCGCTTAGTTAGGTGTCGAGATATCTTTGTTCAAAGTTTTTAAAATTTTAATTTAAATTGATGTACATTAGGTTACACAAAACTGATGTACAAAAAAGAGGTTTGGGTCAAAATCCCAATGAACAAAATCCCAATCCAACAAAATTGGCCAGGATTAGCTTATTGTTGGCAATTTTTTAGGAATTTTGACCCTGTCGGGATTCTTATTTTTGGGATTTTGACCCATACCCACAAAAAAGATTGCCGTTCTAATTTACACAATTAAATTTTTTCTCCAAGTAACATTGTTATAAGGAGGATCATCATTATTAGGAACAGAATCATCATTTGTAAAATTATTATTGAGAGAAGTGTCATTATCATCAGGAGAATCATCATTATAGGAAGAGATAATTATTATCAAAAGGAACATTATAATTGTTTGGGAAAAATCTTCATATTTAGAAGGAGTAACGTTATTATTGGGAGAGGTATAACCATTCAAGAAATATTATAATTATTGCTAGGAGAATCATTGTTTTCTGCAGAAGGATTATTATTTTCTGAGAAAGAATTATTTTCTAAAGAGGAATCATAATTGTTAGAAGGGTAATAATTATTTTCAGAAGAAAAATCAGTATTATCAGAGATAGAAGCATTGGAAGGGAAATCATCAATTTTTGAAAAATAATTGTATTAGGAGGAGAATCATTATCGCTAGGTGAAGAATCTGTGGCATCATGTTTATACTAACTAAATGTGTATTATCAGGAGAGTAAACCATGTTCATACAGTAGTGAGCTACGAAGAATATTCAAGAAAATAAACAAAGTATGTATCAGAAGAGTTATTTATAGATATAGCAGAATTAGAGAGTACAAATAATGAGAATATTAAGCACTAATAGTGGTTATTAGTTTCATGGTTTAATTCTTTCAAATCAAAGACAATAATGAATTTTTCATGAATAAATAAAAAGTTTGAAATTTGTTAATGCATCTATAATTCAATGATCCACATATCCCTATTATTTAAGATCCAATTTATAAATGACAACAATTTTAATAAATAAAACAAATGATATTAATTAACCCTTTTTATGCGCGTCATATATCAAAAGACAAATATTCGATTAAATTACATTCTTGTTTATTTATAATCAATTAAATATGCTAATTGTTGACAAAATCAACTTTAAAGAATTAAATTATTAATCTATCTATCTATCTATCTATACATAGTAACTATAAGCATATAGTTTTGGTATAATATTTGGAAAGTTTCAAACAGAAAATAGCGTTAAATATGCACAAAGGTATCGATATAATTTTTGTGTGCTTCAAGCAGGAGAAAATCCTGTAAAAAATACACAATCTGAATCTGTTGAACACCATAAGCACTGCAAGAATGGAGATCTTACAAATCGTCCGATTCCAAATATGCTTTTAAAATAGCTATATGTTTTTAAAGACATTGAAGGCTTAACAAAACAAAGAAACAATACCTAAACTTTAATTAACTCAAGATTATAATATGAACGAACAAATTTAAAACAAACCTTATGGACAAACTAATTTTGAAATTTTGGTATAGTTATAACTTAAGAATTGGTGTTAAAAACAGAAGGCATCAAAAATCTGCCGAAATTAGATAATTGAAGAGAATTAAAGTTGAGATCTGCCATTAGGGGCTTCAGAATTAACTTTTTCAAAAAATAAGTGAGAGCTTAAAAGACCCAGATTTCTTTTTTCGAATTCCAAATTATAAAATTAAAATGCCATAGCCAGTGATAAAATTAACCATTTCTGTATTTGATAAAATTCACCTGTAAGCGATTATATAAATAAGTACATACTTTAAAAAATAGAATTTGTATGTCGCTTCTTTGAAATAAATACATCCCTTATTTTATTTGAAATCGAACGTCAAATCATTAATTCTGAAACCCATTTGTTTGGAATTGAGAGCTAATCAATGTTAAAAATTTGAGAACATTATTTGAAAAACTAATATTTATGAATTTTATATGAGAACATTGTATTAAAATTCGAGAATATTATTTGAATAAATTAATATATATATAAATTTTATATGGGAAATTTGTATTAAAATTCGAGAATATTAAATTATTTAAAATAGTTCCTGTGAGAACTTTAACACTGGTTTAGAATAATGTACACTTATTATCGAAATATTTGAGGTTAACAATTTATCTCTTTCTATTGACAAAAGATATTATTAAAATTATATTGTTTAAAGTTGATTAGTTGGTAACGTCATCACTTATTGGTCAAGAAATTCTTGAATGTGTGCCAGGTTTATGGCGCATTATTCAGTCCAAATAATTTATGCCATTTAAAAAAATCTATTTTTTTAACGTTATTTCTACTCGAATCATGTTCTTGTTATTTTCAATAAAGCATGTTTCCCTTCATTTTTTTTCATAACCTTCAGCTACTAATATTATTGTTTTGAATTCAAAAAAATATTTGTATTCTTTACTTTTATAATATTTATAACATAATTTTCAAAAAAATTTTATAGACCAAAACATCAAAGTGCTTAATATACGCATAAAAAAAATAATGGCTTTAAATGTATAATAATAAATCTCAAACAAACGTTTTTTACAAAAAAAAGTTCTTTAAATGAAAAAAACATTTCTCATAACGCTGAATCGTATCTTAAAAAAAAAATAATACTAGTGTTCCTTAATGTTAAAGACGTTTCACTTTTATAATTAAAGTTTTATAAGCTTTGTTATTCTTACATACTTACGAAATTACTGTAATATACTTTACTTACATATTAAGTACGGTCTAACTCACTTTATAATAGTGCCTTTTTATAATGAACAAAATTTTACGAATGCACTGTACATACTTAAATAAAAAAGATCATTGTGGCTATTTAATGCGCCACTAACCTAGCACACATTTAATAATTGCTTGGTTAACTATTCTCCGAAATTAAACAAGCCAATTGCAACAAGCAAAAACTTCATTAATCATGTAATTATAATTGACTAATGATATTTAATAAAATGTTTTTTGGTATATGTTTGTTTAAATTTTCCTTCATCTGAACACAAAATGTTGACGTAAACCAACTATTCAACTTTGAGTAGCCTTATTTAAATCCGAAAATTATTAAAGGATTTGAAGTCCAAATTTATATTCGAAACGAATTATATAAATAAAATTATTGCTCTGCAGAAAAATATATTTATGATCAACATTTCAAACGTTCAAACATATTGCAAACTTTCAAATCAGGCTCAAATCAAATCCAAACAAGCCTGATGTTTGATATTTCAAGCCGAATAAACAGTTTAAAAACAGTTTAGGTTTGAATTAAACCAAACTTAACCCATTTAAAGCCTCAGTTTGAGCTCATCGAAACCCTACATATTTAAATATATTATAAATTGTATAGTTAAAAAATCAACCCTTGTTACTTTAATAATTTTTTCATTTTTATTAGTTTTTTTAACTTTTCAAAGCATTACTAATTAACTTATATTTTTTATTTTTATTTATATAACTTAATTATTTTGAATCAGTCTAAAATAATTATCGATTTGCTAAACAATTTAATATAATACAACGTTCGACTATCATTTTAGTCTTTAAGATACAATTTAAAATGATTATTATTTATAAATTATAAAATAAATCAAACAGATTCATTTATTGTATACATACCGAAGCTTTCAAACTCAGTAACATCAAGATTAATTTGAGAAGAATCAGGTTGAGACAAATCTAAATAAATAAATAATAATTGTTAAATAAATTAATATAATATAATTTTAATATATTAATTGAAAAATAAATACCTTTAATCGCCTTTGAAATTAATTTTGTGCTAATAATTTTGCTTGTGTACATTTCATCAGGATGTTTTGATATCGGCAATATTTTAATAATTTTATCTGCTTCTTTATCTGCTTCTAAGAATTGCTTTTTAACTTCATCACTAAAATACCAATTCGTTATTTCGTCAAAAACACTAAAAGCGCTAGGCCGTTTTTGTGGATCAGCATTCATACATCTCTCAGCCAATCTAATATAGCATTCAGGAGTTCCCGGTGCAAACTCTGGTCGTAATCCTCTACAAATATCCGCCCCAAGTTTAGCATTAAACTTACGTCCATCAAAAGGTCTTTGCCCATTTGAAATTTCTGCCATAATAATACCAAACCCATAAACATCTGCTGCTTGTGTAAATTGCTGCTCGCCTGATAAAACTTCTGGTGCAACATAGGGCATGACTCCAAAAACTTCGCCCTCTGAAACGCATTCATCTTTTTTTCTAGACAATCCTAGATCTGCAATATATGATTGTTGGTCTTGCAAAATATTGCCACTATGAAAATCACCATGAATGTATTCTGCATATATGTGAATATTTTTTAACTCTGTTGAAATATCTTTAAGTATTTGCAATTTAGTCAGCCATGTAATTTCTCTAAAATTTTTTCTTAAATATTTATAAAGATTTCCATTATTAGCATACTGAAATACCATCAAGTATTCATCTGTTTCTTTATTATGCGTTATTCCATATATAGCGAGTTTAGTAGAATATAACTGTAATTTACACGTCATAAGACTTTTAAACTTAAAGTTTAAACAATAGATTAGTTCAATAAACTATTAGATAAATTATTAAAGCAATAGATTTTCTTACTTCTTTTAAAAAATCGAAATTGTTTTCTTTCGAACTGATCAACGTCTTGAGTGCAACGATACTGGATGGTTTACGCGCTCTTTCATAATTATAATCATTACCATCAACATTCCGCATGCCATCCAACCAGAGTGCTGAATATACTTTGCCAAATCCTCCTTTACCGATTTCTTTAATATAAGATAATCTATCAAATGGAATCCATTCAATCACATCTTCATATGTAGATGTTCTAAGTTGGAATGTTTTGACGCAATCATCAATAACCATATTTCTACTTGTCCACTTTGTTGCTATGTCAGGGTCGCATGATAGACACCATGCGGGTTTCGTGTTATCTTCATTACAATGTGCACATATTCCATATTTCGCATATCTATATAATTAATATATAATATATATTTTTATTTCACATCTGCGTTTTAAAATTTATATCGAATGTAAATAATTTTTATATTTACCGACTAAATTAATACGAATTAAATGGTTTATATGTAATAAATAAGTATTTATGTTTTTGTTTTGTGAACTTGCTCCTTTACTTCTAGAAATTATTTATACTCACGTGCTGAATAAATGATTAGTACGTAATAAGTAATTATGTTCTTGTTTTGTTATTATTATTTCTAGAAATTATTAAATGTTCTTTATACTCACCGGCTGATTAATACGAATGAAATGATTTGTGCGTAATGATAAATAAGTATTTGTGTTCTTTGTTTTGTGGACTTGTTTTGTTGC